GTTTGGTTCAAATCCTGAGATTATTGCTTGACTGTAGCTGCCTGGATGTGTTGCCTGGTACAGTCCATCAAAATCGATCGCTTGGGATCTCTCCTGGGAGTTGCCTGGCTCCAATTAGTGCTCGCAGTTACTTTCTCAACATCAACTAACATAGGCAAACTCAACCAAACGACGCTTGCACTTTCGCCATTCAGGCAATGTATCAGGTCACCAATCAAATAGTACTAAACATGTGCCTGATGAGGCAATTTTGTAATCGTGTACATGCAGTTCACAAGCAGATTTTGAACCCAGGCAACTAGTCCAGGTTTTGAACCAAACTAGCCCTCAATCTTCATAAGTTGATAACATATGTGCTACATATATGAGTAAAGTCTCCTACGATCAAATTTGATAACTATATTGTGAAACTAGAAAGTCACATGCTAATACATTTTATCATGATTGCCGGTGTTTTCGGACTACCGACGAGTAAATTTGTATTTACGCGTCTAGCTCGGATGGTGTGCTCGGAGGACACAAGAGTCTCTACTGGTTCGGGCGGAACGTCCCTATGTCCAGTTCGCTACTGCTCGTGTTACCGACACTTGGTTTGCAGTAGGAGTTACAAACAAAGCGAGAGAGGAAGAGGATCCCAAGTCTCTGGTGGAAGGAGTGAACGGGAGCTGAGAGCTCGCTTGCCGCTCAGCCGTGTGCTCGTGTCGTGCTCTTGTGTCAAGATCCTCTTTCCGATCTCCCCTTTCATGAGGCGCCCTGCTTTCCCTTATATAGGCGAAGGGAAAGCACGGGTTACAGAGAAGGAAAATGAGAACGTGAGAGAAGAAGGCTTTCAAGGTTGTGGGTCCTTCTTCTCTTTCATGCGGGTTCCACCAATCCTATAGATGTCAACAAGGACGGCTCCATGTCGCGGCCCTGTTCGTCACTGGCGCCATGCGCATGCGTCATCTGCCGGTCATGACATTCCACTCCGTCCCGGCGGACGTCGTGGTGAACTGACGCGCCTGTCAGCGTCCGTACGAGGATTAGGTAAGACAGCACCAGCACGCCCGACAATGTTCTTGATGTGAATCCCCAGATATGGCCCGTCATGGTCACGGGTTATATCGAGGCGTGCCAACCTCTTCCCTGACGTCAGAGTTTCGACCTAGGCCTATACGCTTGGACCTAGAGTGGTTGGCCGCGGTATGGGTCCCCGTCGGACGAGATGGAACCTCCGTCCTCAAGGTCGGGTGAGACGGAACCCGTGTCCTCAAGGTCGGGCGAGACGGAGCCCGTGGCCTCGAGGTCGGGTAAGACGGAGCCCGCGACCTCGAGGTCGGACGAGACGGAGCCCGCGGCCTTGGGCGAGACGGAACCCGCGTCCTTGGGGTCGGGCGAGACGGAGCCCGCACCCAAGGGGTCGGGCGAGACGAAGCCCGTGGCCTCGAGGTCGGGCGAGACGGAGCCCACGGCCTTGGGTCGGGCGAGACCTTTTAATACGTCGCAAGCCATCCGGAGAAGTCAGCGTGGGCGCTAACTTCCTTGCTAATATCGATACCCGACAATGATATACAACCATTTTTTTCACAATAGTGCTCACGTTAATATGCTAGTGGCTATGCATTGAAATATAGTAGCACATTTAATATGCTAACATCTTAGTGTAAATATGATCCTATATTGTTTACTCTTGCCTAGTATCAAAATCAAGATTCCTATTTTAAGGTGGTAACATAATTAGCAGAAAATTAATGCCATAGTAAATGCTTGCCAATTTCTATAAGACAGAAAACTTTAGTAGTATGATTTTCTGGAGAGTCAGCTGTGGACCGAAAGAGAAAAACATATCAAATCTGATAATCTTATTTGTTTAATTTAAAGTATCCTCATATGTTCGTATCCAAATCCAACATAATCAATTCCAACTATTTTTTTAGAATTTTGCTTGATTGGATAGTAAGCTGGACACCCATGGTCTGTAATTATATATCATAGAACATGGAAATTTTGATGTTCACGGTTGAGAACCAATGGCATGGATTATGTACTTCTTCTCCAAATCTATAAAATTAAAAAATTTATCAAGTATATCACACATATCAATAACTTATCAAAATAATTAAAAACAAATAAAATTTATTTACTTTTGTATTTGAAATACTTGATAAACAAATGACATATTGAAATGTTGCCTCTACATCAAATGAATACATAGTGCTAGCTAGTTTTGTGAGATGTTGCTAATCCAAAAAGAACTTTTAAAGCCACAAGGATCATTCATTTTTAACCCATGAATACATAGCGCTAGCTAGTTTTGTGAGTTTAGTTATGAACTAGGTGTATTTGATAATATATAAAAAATATATTTAAACTTTATATTGACACATTTCTTATAAACATATTTCATATATTGTTTTAATTTATAAATCAATAAATTATATGCGCATATGTTTAATCCAACAATATACTCTTTGATATATATATCTCACAATCATCCATTATGTGGGCACAATATAGTGGAAACTTTATTAGATTATCAATAACTCACACATAGGAATTTCAATCAACCGTGATTTGGAGTTAAGGAATAAGAGCACTGAATTATATCCTCATTGATTGACAAAAATAAGGTACCAATGTTTATTTTTGGCAGCCATATTGTCCAAATGATGCAAACTTTATAGTACAAAATATCAACCATGCACGGTGAACAGGGAATTAATACGAAATCATTAGCAAAGCTTATTGACCATCCGCCACGTAGTTCACACATAGTGTTCAAAAAGTATTTCCATTAGTATGAAGCTCCAAAATTTTCAAATCAATACAAAATTCTCTCAAATAGAGAGCCTATAGTCATACAAATTTCTCTCAAATGAAAAGCATACAATAAAAAATACAAAATTCTCTTGATGGTAAGCATACAAACATTAATGGAGCATTTCGATAACAGTTACTAAATTCACAACAGAGTTTACTAAGTTGAAGTTTGATGCATCAAATTTACATTACAAAATACTGCTCAACCTTAAACAATCTTGGATCAACAATTTGTTAACCGAAATCTATTAGCAAGTATGAACCATTGCATGCTTCAAATTTATGTTATGAAAATTTGATTGAATGGAGAATATATGAGAGTGATGGAGCATTTCGATCATGCATCATCTAATAATCTAGTCATGTTAGTAAGTACAAAGAACTACATGCTTCAAATGTACATTTCTCGCTCGAATGAAAGCATGAAAACATGATAGCAGAACATTTAGCATATCCATCCTCTGATTCACACGTTAAGTTTTGAAACTTGGTTCTCTTAATAAGAAAGAAGCACTACATGCTACGCGCAAATTAACAGAAGATTTCGTGTAGCTGTTCTACTGCTTGTAGAAACATCTGTAGCTGGCTGTCTGTACAGTGATTTTGCGAGAGGCACAGCAGCTGTAGCGGCTGAAAAACTAGCCGCCGAACATGTGTGTATTAGACATCCAGATAAAAAAAAACGTGTACATTTACATTACTAGCATATTAGGTATATGCGCGATTAAAAATAGTATGTTCAAATTTACGTTACAGAATTAAGTTTCCATATAATACGTGCAAATTTACGTTATAGGATTATGTGCCCGCACGGATAAAAACAAAATATGTGCAAATTTTCGTTATAAGATCTAAACATTACACGGGTTTGCAAATTTTCGTTACAGGATTAAATTTCTATACAATATGTGCAAATTTACGTTACATGATTAGATGCCGACACGGATAAAAACAATACATGCATATTTGCGTTACAAGATCTAAACCTTAGATGCCGACACGGATAAAAACAAAACGTGTAAATTTGCGTTACAAGATCTAAACATTACATGGATTTGCAAATTTACGTTACAACATATTAAATTTCCGTACAATACGTGCAAACTTACATTATAGGATTAGATGCCGACACAGATAAAAACAAACACATGCAAATTTAGGTTACAAGATCTAAACATTACACGGATTTGCAAATTTACGTTACAGGATTACGCGCCCACATGAATAAAAACAAGAATGTATTACACGAATTAACCGACTTATATATGGTTGATCAGTGTGACCTCCAAATTCAGTAAGAATAGCAATTAAGTATAGGAGCAGACACATACTACACTACACATATATATTCCATGTAAACAAGTCGTCAAATATTTATATGATTTTTTTTAATAAAAAAAGAAAACAAATTTATCATTTATTCAGCCGTGGAGAGGGGTCTGCGGGTGGAGTGGGAGGGGGGAATCTGATGAGGAAATGCAGCATGCAGACCCGACCCGTTTGGCCTTAAATGGCTCCAGCTGTTCCCATCCAAACCCAACAGAGGGACTGTAGAGAGAGAAAGGGAGTAGTCATGGCCTCGCCGGGCGCCCTGCCCTGCTTAAAAACCTCGGCCCTTAATTCGCTCGCACCGGTTACTACTGCTCCTGCTTCCTCACACCACCCTCCCTCTCCTGCCAGGGCAGGAGGAAGAAAGATTGGCAGGCAGCAGCAGTTCATAGACCAAGGAGCGGGCCGGCGAGGACCGGAGGAGAGAGAGAGAGAGAGAGACGGCGAGCGCGAGCAAGTGTAACGGTTGCCGTGGAATAGGGATAGAGATAGATAGAGAGAGAGAGAGAGAGAGAGAGAGAGAGAGAGAGGGATAAGCGCTAGCAAGGCAAGGAAGGAAACCAGGTGGAAGCTAGCGGAGGTGGGGGAAATGGCGTGAAGCATGGCTGGATCCAAGGTTTCACGAGACCCTTCCTATTCTGCAGCGCTCGTCTCGAGTTGGAAGGCGGCTACCACCCCGGCGCTGTCTTGCCCGGCCTGCTCATCGTCGTGTATAAATAGGAGCCGGGGGGCAGGCCACAGAAGGCACTGCAGCAGCACAGCACAGAGATCTCTCCTCCTCCTTCGCCTACAGCTGTAGAGCGAGGGAGAGCGAGCGAGCAAGAGGGAGAAGAGAAGGTTGGTAGTAGTAGGTGGGTCGCTAGCCTCCAGCGATGGATTTCGGCGACGAACCTGAGGGCTCCGACAGCCAGCGCCAGCAGAAGCGCTACCACCGCCACACCCCGCGCCAGATTCAGCAGCTCGAAGCGTACGATTCTCTCTTGTTTCGTTTTGTTTCCATTTCTTTTGCTGTTTCTTCATCGTGTCCGGCCGTCGTCGTCGTCGTGATGGTTGACGGAGAGGAATGTAATGGTGCGTGTTCGCCGGTGACTGCAGGATGTTCAAGGAGTGCCCGCACCCCGACGAGAACCAGCGCGCCGCGCTCAGCCGGGAGCTCGGCCTGGAGCCGCGCCAGATCAAGTTCTGGTTCCAGAACCGCCGCACCCAGATGAAGGTAAAGTGTCCCAGTTCCTTTGTTTTTCTTCTTCTTCCATTCACGAGGTCGCCGTGTTTCATCTCGACCTTCCGTCGGCTTGTTTTCCACGGGTTCTTGATGGATGACGATGCTCCTGTGTGCTTGTGCAGGCGCAGCACGAGCGCGCGGACAACTGCTTCCTCCGCGCGGAGAACGACAAGATCCGGTGCGAGAACATCACCATGCGCGAGGCGCTCAAGAACGTCGTCTGCCCCAACTGCGGCGGCCCGCCCGTCGCCGAGGACTACTTCGACGAGCAGAAGCTGCGCATGGAGAACGCCCGCCTGAAAGAAGAGGTAAATAATGAGTTGACCAACCACGCGCTGTTTCCGGCGACGTCCTCGCCGGTCTGTCCGTCCCCGTGTATTTCTGTACTGTACGTCTGTCTCTGAATGATGCCTGCCTGCCGACCTGCAGCTGGACCGGGTGTCGAGCATGACGTCCAAGTACCTCGGCCGGCCGTTCACGCAGATGCCGCCGGTGCCGACCATGTCCGTGTCGTCGCTGGACCTGTCCATGGGCGGGATGCCCGGGCAACAGGCCCCCCTCGGCGGGCCGTCGCTGGACCTGGACCTCCTCAGCGGCTGCTCGTCCGGGATGCCGTACCAGATGCCGGCGCCCGTGACGGAAATGGAGCGCCCCATGATGGTGGACATGGCGACGCGCGCCATGGACGAGCTCATCCGGCTCGCCCAGGCCGGCGACCAAATCTGGGTCAAGGGCATGCCCGGGGACGCCAGGGAGGTGCTCAACGTCGCCACCTACGACAGCCTCTTCGCCAAGCCCGGCGGCGCGTTCCGCCCGCCGGACATGAACGTCGAGGGGTCCAGGGACTCGTGCCTCGTGTTCATGAGCGCCGTCGCGCTCGTCGACGTCTTCATGGACACAGTACACTTGCGCATTCCTTCCTTTCCCTTTGTCTTCCAGCGCCTCGCGCCCATGGCGATGGCTGATCGATGTCGTTGTTGTCGTTGCAGAACAAGTGGATGGAGTTCTTCCCCGGCATCGTATCCAAGGCGCAGACAGTCGATGTTCTCGTGAACGGCTTGGGCGGGAGGAGCGACTCCTTGATCATGGTAATGCCGTCGAATCTCTGCATTGGAAACAATGCTGTGCCTTCTCGTCGTGTGAATATGTGATCACTGGAAGGAAAACTAATGGCTGGCGCCGTGTCGTCGCGCAGATGTACGAGGAGCTGCACATCATGACGCCGGTCGTCCCGACTCGCGAGCTGAGCTTCCTCCGCTACTGCAAGCAGATCGAGCAGGGGCTGTGGGCCGTCGCCGACGTCTCCCTGGACGGGCAGCGCGACGCCCACTACGGCATGCCGTCCCGCTCCCGTCGCATGCCGTCGGGGTGCCTCATCGCCGACATGTCAAATGGCTACTCCAAGGTGATCGACGCGACGCGACGCGAGCAGCTCATGCCCCTGTGCAGGCTGTGCTCCACGTGCACGTGCATTGCTCTGTGCTAGTGCTACACTACAATGGTTGGTGCCCCTGGCCTGACCTGACACGTTCATGTCATGTGTGCTGCAGGTGACCTGGGTCGAACACATGGAGATCGAGCAGATGCTCCCGATCAACATCCTCTACCGCAACCTCGTGCTGAGCGGCGCCGCGTTCGGGGCGCACCGCTGGCTCGCCGCGCTGCAGCGTGCGTGCGAGCGGTTCGCGGCCCTGGCCACCCTCGGCGTGCCGCACCACGACATCGCCGGAGGTATGCTGCGCACCGCACTGTCCATCCACGCTAGCAGTTCTGTGGATAGAATTATTAGAATGTGAGGGTTTTCCTGGTTTCTTGCGATTGGCAGTGACGCCGGAGGGGAAGCGGAGCATGATGAAGCTGTCGCAGCGGATGGTGAGCAGCTTCTGCGCTAGCCTGAGCTCGTCGCCGCTGCAGCGGTGGACGCTGCTCTCCGGCACCACGGACGTGAGCGTCCGAGTCTCCACGCACCGCAGCACCGACTCCGGCCAGCCCAACGGAGTCGTCCTCAGCGCCGCCACCTCCATCTGGCTGCCCGTCCCCGGCGACCACGTGTTCGCCTTCGTCCGCGACGAGAACGCGCGATCCCAGGTACGCGCCCTTCCGTCCGGCACACACCACACCACGACACCCCCACCACCCGGCACCCGCGGCCGCATGCATCGCGCTCGTCATTTAACGCTCACGCCTTGAATGGTTTGCTGCCTTGCCATTGCAGTGGGACGTCCTGTCGCACGGCAATCAGGTTCAGGAGGTGTCGCGCATCCCCAGCGGCTCCAACCCCGGCAACTGCATCTCCCTGCTGAGAGTGAGCAACCAATCAATCATTTCTTGCTCCTCCGTCGTCGTCCATTAAACGCGCCTTGTGATGTGCTTGTTGAATTAATCCCCCGTCGACGACGTGTCTGTCGTTGGCGATCTTGACGATGGTGATGATGATGAATTGACGATGGCGTGTGCGACGTCGCATGCAGGGGCTGAACGCGAACCAGAACAGCATGCTAATCCTCCAGGAGAGCTGCACGGACGCGTCCGGGGCGCTGGTGGTGTACTCGCCGATCGACATCCCGGCGGCGAACGTGGTGATGAGCGGCGAGGACCCGTCGGGCATCCCGCTGCTGCCGTCGGGCTTCGCCATCCTGCCCGACGGACGCCCGGGGTCCGGCGCGGGCGCGTCCAGCAGCGCCGTCGTCCCGCTCGCGCCGCCGCCGGGCTGCGTGGTCACCGTCGCGTTCCAGATCCTCGTCAGCAACCTGCCGTCGTCCAGGCTCAACGCCGAGTCCGTCGCCACCGTCAACAGCCTCATCGGCACCACCGTCCAGCAGATCAAGGCCGCGCTCAACTGCGCCGGCCCTTGATCGACTCGCTCCACCGCCGCCGCCGCCACAGTGACTGAGGAGAGTTGGTTGGCCCGTTGAAAGCTCGCATTCATGGAGTCCACCTGCCGCTGCTCCCGAAGCTGACGCAACTCTCTCGCTCTCCATCAACCTATCCATGATCCATCACCACCACCACCACCACCACAATAGCTTTCTTCCTTTAGATTCAGTGTCGTTTTCCTTCCTTTGCTTAAAATTCGCATCAGGATTCGCCAAGTTTTCCCCCTTTTTTCCTTCTTTCTTCCTTAGGCATTCGTTCGTGCGCCAAAGATCGATCCATCGAAGGCTTTATGAGACTGAGGGAGTCAAGAACGCACCATGTTACCATGTCCCTTTCCTCTCGCTGCAGCCATTTTTTCCTCGCCACACCACAGTTCCTTCTTCCTTTTCCTTGGAGTAAATGCCCATCCTTGTCATGTCACCATTGTCGTTGGTGCCGCAGCAGAGGATGAATGGTTCGGGTATTGACTTCTCTCCATTAATGTAAAGCCTTCAATGAACATTCATTTCGATTATAAATAGAAAGGAAAAAAAACAAGTTATGGTAAAAAGCTGTGAGGTGCATGTGTGTTCATGGCCTGATGTCCCCCCTGATTCCTTTTCCGGGTGATGCTATTGCTGGAGCACCGGTAGACTGGTTGTTCGGCTTGCTTGCCCTCAGCCTGTCTCGTCGCTGTCGTTCATCGGTAGCAACGGCGGCGGCCCGGGCCGGCGCGCGCCTGCCTCTTATCGTCAAGAAACCGACCTGTGAGGCGCGCTGTGACAGGCAGGTGCAGGTGGCACGTCCTCTAGCTGCCGCGCCAGGCGGTGGCGGCCGATTTGGCGATTTGGACGCGGCGGACGGGCGATTCAAGTGCGCGCAGTCGTAAGTGGGTGGCACTGGCACTGGCACACACATCGCCGTGCTAGTCCCCTGCGACGGTCGCTTTAATACGGTGGTTGGCTGGGCCGCCAGCCCGGGATCAAGGCAAGGCTACAGAGCTGACGGCAGCGTGATGGGATCGGCATCCCACGCATGCACGAGGCCGTAGTCCATGCTCCATGGTATCCCGCACGGCGTGACTGCGCGCGTCTTGGGCCCGTGGGTTTAGCAGGGAACGGACGTCCGAAAGACTCGCTAGCTTGTAGTACGTACTCTACTTTTTTGAGCCATGAAACTGAAGCCGAAATCGTGATCCTACTTCGTTCCGCCTAGGGATCTGTTCGAGACTCCAAGTCACTTTTTTCTTTTCTTAGGCTCGGTTTAGATTCCAAAAAATTTTGCGCAGTACTTATCACATCGAATCTTGTGGCACATGCATAGAGTATTAAATGTAGACGAAAAAAAACTAATTGCACAGTTGGGTGAGAAATCGTGAGACGAAACTTTTGAACCTAATTAGTCTATAATTAGACACTAATTGCCAAATACAAACAAACGGGCTAAGTACCCAAAACCAAAAAATTTTGGCATCTAAACGCGGCCTTATTACACCCGCGATCCTCTGACAACCTTTTCTTTAGGGTGCTGGTTTAGGGTTTACTGCAAACTAGTAGAACTTTGGGTTCACCGACCTAGTGTTGAGTGTTGTTGATGACCAAAAGTGGCCTAGGCGTAAAAAGAACATCATGACAACATTACCGGTCTCAGGCGATCAAGAAACAGTTTGGATCATCACATTTGGAGGTCCGGAGGACTTCATGATCATTTTTTAGGAATGATCATGCATATGGCACAATTATAGATGGCTAAACGAGCCACTCAGCCTGATACGGAACGGGCCCGATGAAGGCACGACCTGATGACCCTTTCATGCTATGCCATGCAGGCCCATGGATTGTGCCTTTGGCCCAGGCACTAGCTTAATTGTGTCGGGCCGGCCGGCCTGACGGCCCGTTGAGTCCGCTGAGCCGCCAGACCGCGCGCCTCACGCTGCTACTAACAGTGGCGGAGCTCTTAGTAGGGCTATGTGTGGCAGCCGCCCTACCTTAAATCTGCCATGTTCTTCATTATCCTGCCTGGTTCACATGTCATCTCTCAATGGCTATGCAATTAATCAAGGTAGGGAGCTCAGATGATTCTACTGTGCCACACCTTAATTTCTGTTTGTCCTCCGCCATTGGTTACTAAGTGAGATGGTCGGGGCTGTGCACCTGCACTGCCAGGCTGCTGCTGACCCGAGAAGGTCGGGGTCGTGCTCCGGCGCTGCTAGGCTGCCGCCACTGCTGTCAGGCCGGAAAAAAACTCAGGAGGGGAGGGAAGGTGCCGGTGGGTGTGAACCATGAGAGTGTTGGGCTAGTATTTAGAAGTTAAGATAGATAGATTTTATTATTCATATAGGTGTCGGCTAGTCGGGCTAGGCTAGGCCGTCACGTTGTGCCTAGACAGCAGCCTAGGCACGATCCTCTCTTCAAACCGGGCTGACATGGACACGATAAGTGTCGGGCCATGTCGTGCTTGGGCCGGGCCAAACCACCGGGTCTGTGGGGGCCGTTCACATTGTCCTTGGGCCGTATGGCCATCTATAGGCGCAATTGTGCAACATATGTTGGTCTTTGTTTGGACGACCGCGTTTTCTTTTCCGTTTTGTTTTTGAAGTGGCGATCGAGCAACAAGCAAATGTGATGGAACAGCAAGGCAACCTTACAGCTAAACCTTTATTACATTCGGTTGGCTGGTTCGTTTCGTTGCTGGTTCGTGAAGAAGTACTGCTGGCTGGTTTGTGTGAGAGAAAAATACTGTTCTGGCTGGAAATTTACAATCGTTTACGACAAGCCACAGCCAAACGAACAGGCTGAAGATATATATTTGGGATGATTACGAAATGCCTCAGCTGTTGCAGCTGGAGCAGAGTAGAATAGAAATGAAGTGTGAAGAGCTCAGACATTCTTGTTGAGATGTAGATGTTGTCGGTGAATCTCCTCGTTCGTGTTTCCCTCCGACAGCAGATTAGACGTTGACAAGATGGTAGATGACCTGTCTCCCTTCTCGATCCCAAGCGAAGCACGTTTGAAAAACACACGAGAGACAAGAAAAAAAAATGAAGGAATTGACCTCTTATTCACATAACAGATGAGTAAAGGCTCCTGTATACAATGTCAACCCTTCAGGAGTATATTCGGTATAAGCCCATAATTATCGCTAATCTTAGAATATCTTAACACTCTTCGTTGAGCAAATAGCGCAACCAGCTCGTGTCTACTTAAAAACTGTCTAAAGCCCACTCGGAGAAAAAGAACAGAGAAAAAGGTGCATTGATGCTGCCTTATGCACCGCACTTGTTGTCTCAATAAAAAGCTTATGAGAAAAACTTTAGGAAAACATAGCTTACAATGGGAAAAAGAGTTAAAAGAATGTCTTTAAGACATAATACAATATTCATGATTATATGATTAGGGATCTTTGAGATCCAAACCATGGGCAAATATTTAGGGGCGTTTTCCCCCTGAACACTGCAAATCTTTTAAAAAATCTCTGGCAAATTTTCGTAACATAGTAGCGGGCAGAGATTTTATGAATAAGTTGACTAGATTGTCACATGGCCTAGCTTGCAATATTTGTACCTTGCCTTGCTCTTAGAGATCATGAGGACAAATGGACTTGGGAGCTATATGCTTCATTAAATTCTTCTTCACATAAACTGTTTGCATTTGTGCAACACATGCTGCATTATCTTCATAGATAATAGTGGGAGTATCGAGGTTATCAAGGCCACATGACTTCTAGATGTAGTTAATCATTTGTTGTTGTAATCTTTTAGGCCCCTCAAGTAGGTGGTTTCGATGGTTAAAGACAACCATGCATATGTGACTAACACGTGTGTTCATGAGAAACATTTTTATGTTAGATCAAAATGCAACGGATGGTGATGAAGATGGTGACATACTTAGAGTTGATGTCATTGTGACCTAGAACTCAGGACTTAAGGAGAAGATCTTTAAAGAGTCAAGCAAGTCAACGAATGACTCGAGATCATGGCAAAGGATCTCGGAGGAGTCAAGCAATGCAAAGCAATTCCGGACTCAAGATAACGAGGATCAAGGGGAAGTCAAGCATTGTGAAGTAGTTAGGATTCAAGATCAAAGGCTAAGGATCTAAAAAGGGTCAAGTATTGCAAGGAAATATTTTACTCAATATTTTAACATCTAAATGTATAAAATATAAGAAAACTATAGATTATATTACACGTGCTACTCTACACCCTAGTTGTAGAGTACTATCAACACCAAACTAGTATTGTTCAGTAGCCGCGTGTCAGTATTATTCAGTATTTCATGGTGCTGGGTGTAGTACCGACTGATACTAAACGTTGTTCAGTAATACTCAATATTTTTCTGGTCAATTTTGCCTAGTGAGTGGTGTAGAATATTAGGGTGTAGAATAGCGCTGTCATGCACGTGCTATTCTACACCCAAGGTGTAGTATAATATTCTACACCAAATTGTTATATTGAGTAAAATTCAGTACTCTTCGGTAGTCGTGGTACTGGGGTGTAGCACTAACTAATATTGAACACGGTTCAGTAGTACTCAGTATTTTAGGGTGCAGAATAGCACTGCCGTTGTTATTAACAATATTTAAATTATATTAGCCTTAGATAACTTTTAAATAATAATGCATATCATTTTTTATATTAAATTTATTTTCATTTACATATTCACTTAGTCATAATTGTAAGATTTAGATGGTTTCAAAATAATTTGTACTTCGCGGATACGGATATTATCGGATATTTCACATTTTTGTCGGATACAGATGTGGAATCAGATAGATAATAATCTTTAAAGAAGAATATGGATACCTCCATTTAACACCCATATTTAAGTCAAATACGAATACAGATATCCATATTTAGACTAAAATTGGATACAAATATCGGATCTTTCGGATATCACCTGTGACAGAGCTAGAGATAAAATGAAGGAGGGGCCAATCGTGAACAATTTTTTTTCTAGAAAATAGAAAAATTTCGGCCTCTGTGACCGTATACATGCCAAGT